CACCTGGCGGATTCAAACTGCCGACCTTTTGGTTAGCAGTCGTGGCACTCAACCACTACACCACCGGGGTTTCCTTGTGGCATATGGGAGATTAGAACTAGTTCCTATGCTTTCCCTCCAGGCTCCAAAAGAGCATCTGACCATGGGGTGTGTCAGTCAACTAGTGAGAACTTTCCTGAGTGCTAGACCACAGGCCACACAGATGATGAAGCCAAACCAAACCCACTGCCGAGTCGATTCCGATTCATAGCAAACCTATAGGACAGAGAAGAAGTGCCCCACAGGGTTTCCAAGGAGCGGCTGGTGGATTCCAACTGCCGACCTTTTGGTTCGCAGCCGAGCTCTTAAACAATGATCAAGGGGCACTTAAATATCACGTATACTTTCAAAATGCAGCTTTTCTGGATGAAAGGAGAAACTGGCAACCAAACAAAGAGAAAGCGTAAGTAGGATGCTAGACGTTCGCATCGCATCCTCTTAAAATTTCCTGGGCTTCATTCAAGACACACTGTGTGTGATGAACTATACATGTAGGCAGCAGGGGGCAGTAGGATAATGGTGTTAAGTCCACGGTGCCTCTTCAACAATAAATTCTCTATGTCCTTGAAGCCTTTTGGCTTCAGCAAAGAGAAGTGATAACTAGTCACATGCCAGCACATCGTATCATCAGAAGAAAGGCAGTCAGCTTCTCTCTCAGGTTAAAAAAAAAATTAGGTATTATAATTCTAAAAACAGAATATATGAATGATAAAAACAGAATATATGAATGCTATTGCTGGTTTATGATTATTTTGGAAGTCTTATGTCTTTGAAAGATCATTTAAAAAAATTCTGCTTATTTATAAAACTGATTTATAAGAGATTCTTTATCTTCTTCAAGCATAAATGCCATTTTGTGAGTATTTTGTCAGTGAGGGAAGTAATCAAACCTTCCCTGTGATTTTTTTTTTTAATGTGTATTCAGTAGATAAGCTGAATAATATTTTTAAATGAAAACTCTGATATATTACCTGTGAAAGAGCATGGTGTGTGTGTGTGAGATAGAGATGAATAGAGATAGAGAAAGGGGGGCAGGGGAGAGAGAGAGAGGTCTGACACGACACAGGTTTGAAACCGCGAAGAGGATGAAACCGCCATCCCTGGGAATAAAGTACAGTAACTCGCCTAGATGCTGTGAGAAGAATGGGAGAGTTATAACTATCGAGATAGTTATAACTTCATGCTATTATTCTTAACTATTTTTGTACCATGGGTGCTTTTGGAGAAGCTGATGAAAGCTATAAGTTATCTTCTTGGAGATAGTTATAAAAGATTAAAAGCAACATTCTGTATATAACTTACTTTATAGCATTGGATCAAAATTATTTTATTTTTTGATCAATTTTTTGCATGCAAAGTTAATTTCAGGCAATTTTCTAACATATAGGAAGAAGGAAAAAAGAAATCCAAAGTGTGCAAATAAAATAAAAAATAAACTTTGGTCTTGCTAAAATATAAATTTCCGTGAGAAGGTAGCTCTCTCTTGGCTTTGCATGAGCAGCTGAGATTACAGGATGGTCTTTGACATGGAAACACATGCACTCTCCTGTAGATGTTTTGTTTTGATGGTAACACATGCTGAAAAGCTGGGCTCACAATGGTCTGGAGCAGCAAACAGAATTAGTTCATGATCGCACATGACACAGTGCGCTTCTGACAAGGAAAACCAGGGTATTTCAAGACTATCTGAATTGAATTTATGTCATTTAATTTCTGTTGGCTTCACATCACTGGGTTTCATCTTCAGCAAGGGGATGCTGTTGATGTCAGCAAGAAGAGGATTAGGAACCCATGTTTCAATTTTAAGGTTGTCTGAGCAGAAGTACTTTCAAAAGAGTTATGCTGAGTTTTAAGTTGTCTGCACATTTCTATATCATGGGTCTGTAAAAGAGAAGAAGTTCATATTCTGCTTTCATTTCATAAGAAAACATATTGAAAAGGCAATCATTCGAGGCTCTGGCTTTAACAAAGTTAACACCTTGCTGTAGGCAAGCAGGACTCTAGAATGCAACGGGTCATACAGCTTCCTGCATTGAGACGCCTCCTTCTCTAAAGCAGAGAAACTAAGATGTGCTACCATGAGTCACAGGTGTTCCCTCTGCTCAAAAAGTGCTCAAAGAGGTTTACCTGGAAAAGAAATATTTCAGCATTTCTAAGATGTTGGCAGACTTTTATGTTTCAAAAAGGACTTAATAAACAGAAATTCATCTTTACAGGCATCAGCTGGCTGCTTCAAGAAGCTTTCAATTCCTCCATCACCTGCCTCAAAATATTATTTAAAAAAATTCAACAACCATGGAATAGATCATTTCGTTTTTAGAGGCACCCCTTTAACTTGCTGTGATGGTTGAGATTGTGTGTCAACTTGGCTGGGCGATGATGTTTATATGTGATCACTCCCATGATGGAATCTGCTGTGAGTAGCCAATCAATTGAAAGGGAGTTTCCTTGGGGGTGTGGCCTGCGTCTGAACATAAGCAGACATTCTGGCTTTTTTGCTTGCTCTGGATCCTGCGGCTGCCTCCTGTTGTCTGACCGCTGGTTCTCGGGACTTGAGTTATCAGCTTATCTGCCGATTTTGGGATTGTCCATCTTCACAGCTTGTGAGTGGGAGCCCTGCTCTCCAAACTGCCCATCTTGGATTCCCCAGCCCCTGCAGCTACATGAATCAGGAAGAGGCTTGTCATCTTGCCTGCCAATCTTGGGATTCGTTCATCTTCACAGCCTGTGAGTAAGAGCCCTGCTCTGCTTGACCTGCTGATCTTGGGTTCACCAACCCCCGTGGCTACGGGAATTGAGAGAAGCCTCTATCTTGATCCATGGACTTGAGACGTTCCAGCCTCTACAATCACGTGAGCCATTTCCTTGATGTAAATCTGTTTCTATATATATTTATATGCTTTACTGGTTTTGCTTCTCTAGAGAACCCAGCCTAAGACACTTACCTCCTCAACTCCAAACCACACACTAACTTGACCATTTTTGGTCTATACAGTTGTTACCAAAGTTACATTGTTGCTATTTTAAGACTAGGCTGCTGTTTCAGGGCAGATAAAATTTTTGTAAAGTCTTGCCATTTCAACTCCATCCAACTTTGCGTGAAAATAATATCCACTGATTTATTTTTGGAAACACAATAAGATTCTCCTTCAACGTTTTGAACTTTGTGCTCCTTCCATTGGTAAGAGTGCTATACAAAAAGCAGTGGGCTTTGATGTTCCATCACACACAGTAATAAGCAAAGCCAAAGGATATTTGATGTTAGTTCTTTCTTTCTTTATTTTTTTTTTGACATTTTCCAACTTCAGCCAAGCCTAAAGTAAACAAAGACAGATTCTCATCATCATAATGGCAGGGCACATATTCTTTAATTCCTATCGATGTGAAGCTGTTCTGCCATATCATGAAAACACTGATGAATGTGTAGTGCCAGTCTACGGTAGCATCCCATAATGGATGCAAAAATAAAGTGTTCACCAAGATGATTTGGAAAAATAAAATAAAAAATTACTGTTGTGTATGTGCATTTATATCTGTGCGTGTGTGTGTGTGTGTGTGCTGTGCATATCTACATGTCTGATTCACAGACCCCCCTTTCCATGGACTTCAGATAAGAGCCTTGGTGTAAAGGAGTGGATAACAGGTTCAATCAAACCCATGATCTAATGTGATGACAAAGATCAATGTAAGCCCAATGATGGGAGACATCTCTTTCCTGGGAGCCTTAGAGAAGTGTTCCTAAGGATCCAGTAAGATAATATCTGAGCTTTGATTTGAAGACTGAGTAGAAGTTTATTAGGTTGAGAAGAGGATGAAGGGCATTCCAACCAGAAGCTAAAAACTTGTGAGTCAAGGGCCAGAACAGGAAAGGACATGCCATAATCTTGGAACTGTGGGAAGGCTGGAAACTAAGAGTTATGCTGGAAATGTTCAGCTCTCAAGACAGAAGTAACTACCTAGGTTTGAATCCTAATTCTGTTATTTATCTGTGGGATCCTGGGCAAGGTACTTACACTCTTTTTGCCTCCATTTCCTCATTTATAATATGAGGGTAGCAGATGGGATCAGCTTGTGTTGTTTCAGACTAGAACTTCTTTAACCCCTTCTTGCCACAGCAAGTACATAAATACCCAATAAAAATGGATGTAGCCTCCATTTCCTTTGTTTATAGCTAAAAAAAAAAAAAAAAAGAAAGAAAGAAACCGCCGTGGAGTCAGTTCCAACTCATAGGGACCCTGTAGGACAGAGTAGAACTGCCCCATAGGGTTTCTGAGAATGTAAATCTTTACAAAAGCAGAATGCCAAATCCTTCTCCCACAGAGCGGCTGGTGGCTTCGAACTGCCAACCTTTCAGTTGGCATCCTAGAGCTTAATGACTGTGCCACCAGGGTTTCTTCTTGTTTAGGGTAAACAGCAATAACAATAATAGTAGGAATAATTCTAGTAGATCAAGTATAATGAACCTCTACTCTGTGCCAAGTGTGGTATTAAGTGTTTGACATGCATCATCATATTTCATCCTTATAACTCCTGAGGTAGAAGCTGTCATTATGTCAATGATGAAGAAACTGAGACTTAATGGGCTAAGTGGCTGTTATGGGTTGAATTGTATCCCCCCAAAATATGTGTTTTAAATCCTAACCTCTCTGCCCGTGGTTATAATTCCTTTTGGGAATGGGTTGTCTTTGTTACGTTAACGAAGTAGGACTAGTGTAGGGTGAATTTTGAGTCAATCTCTTCTGAGCAGAGATGGGGTAAGATAGATGCCAAGACACCTGGAGATTTCCAATGAACCAGGAAGCAGAAGCTCAGAAGAGACAAGGACCTTCCTCTAGAGCCGACAGAGAGAGAAGGCCTTCCCCTAGAGCCAGCACCCTGAATTCAGACTTCTAGCCAACTAAACTGTGAGAAAATAAATTTCTGTTTGTTAAAGACACCCATTTGTGGTGTTTCTGTTATAGCAGTACTAGATGACAAAGACAGTGGCATAGGCAAAATCAACAGACAGCAGTCAGAGAGCCAGGACTTAAACCAGTTTCTTTCCTCCACCCTCTGTTTTCAACTTCCTCACGTGGTTGATCTTCATCAGTTGTGTCCCATGAGCCTGGATTTCCCCTCTGCCCAGCCCCTCTGACTGATGTCTACTTGGATGGTCTGCCAACATTGGACTGGCTTCTTTCCATGAGGCTACTTCTCAGATCATCCCTCTGGCTTCACATACTTCTATCTGTGTGCACACGACACATGTCCCCACTTGACCTGGATTTGTATTATAGTGTTTCCACCACCCGTCTGTCAGTTTGCTATATTGTGGTGGCTGGTGTGTTGTTATGATGCTGGAATCTACACCACTGACATTTCAAAAAACAGTAGGGTCACCTATGGTGGACAGGTTTCAGCAGAGCTTCCAAACTAAGATAGACTAGGAAGAAAGGTCTGATAATCTCCTTCTGAAAATTAGCCAGTGAGAACCTTATGGATTACGACAGAATGTTGTCCGTTATAGTTCTGGAAGTTGATCCCCCTAGGTTGGAAGGCACTATACAATAACCTCAACAATGGACTCAGACTTACCAATGATCACGAAGATAGTGCAGGACTGGGCAATGTTTTGTTCTGTTATACATAGAGAGCCATGAGTTGGAGCCTATTCAAGGGCAACTAACAACTACAACACTGTTTTTCAGCCAGGGCCCATGGCTACAGACCCGTTTGTTCAGGGGAGGGAATGTGATGCACTATTGAACTATTGTCAGGCCCAAATAAAATACTTTCTCCTGGAATGTCCTAGAAATTAGTGCCCTGTTACCTCTGAGGAGCCCTGGGGGTTCAGTGGTTAAAGCGCTCAGCTGCTAACCAAAAGTTTCATGGTTCAAACCCATCAGCTACTCCACGGGAGAAAGACGTGGCAGTCTGCTTCTGTAAAGATTATAGCCTTGGAAGCCCTATGGGGAAGTTCTACTCTATCCTATAGGGTCGCTAGAGGTTGGATTGACTCGATGGCAGTGGATCTGGTTTTGTTTGGTTACCTTTGAGTGGTATGAAATTGTGTTAAGCAAAATTTGTGGCCACCCCGGGTCTCCCTTGTATGTTGAGGAAATGGAGCAAGGGGAGGACAGAGAGAGAGAGAAAGAAACACCGAACAACAAAACAGATTTTTAAAAAAGGTGTTCATGTAGTAGAGGCAAGGTACTTCTTTGGGGTAATATGCCCATCCCTTCTGAGGAATTGTGTCAGGTTATAGTCAATGAAAGAGCTCATTCAGTCCCAGGAAAATGACTCCCACCGGATCTAGCTGGATTTAATTCTTGTTTACATATCTGAATTTCCTTCCTCATATTTTTTCCTGTGAAATTGCTTTGAGCATTCATCGAAGCTCAAGGTTATAGAAATAAAAGTATCTTAGTTGATTTCTTCCATTTTTATTGATTCAGGTGGATTCTGCGAAGTAACATAGTGAAGAGGAAAAAGGAATAGAAATGGAAGATTAGGCTCTGGGCTTGCCTCCTTTTTAACTTCCTACCCACCACTCTCAAGCAGATTTGGGCTCCGGGTGCAGTAACCCACAGCCCTGTCAACCCCTTAGACTCCTTTCTTATTTAGATTCTAAAACAGTGTCTATGTTCCCAGCCACAGTTGGTATAATCTTTCCTCCTGCTTAAGATAGTTACACTGAAAGTCACACAGATGGACCTTCTGGGTGGCATCATCTGCTTTTCTTAGTGTCCTTCACCCACATTTTGATTATACAATATATTTTGAGCTAGACTGTTGTCTCTTTAGAGGAATATTTGCAGATACAAATTAGTGGGTGATTTCTTTCAGCCAAATGACATAAGAGAAACTTTTGCCTGAAACCTCTCTCAACAGTTTACTTTCTTTACCATAAAAAACATTTATACATACTCTTGCATATATTAGCTATTAGGTATTCTAGAGGAACCTCTAAATGAGGAAATCAGAATAAAAAAATACTCTTTTTATGTGAGCCTTTTGAACACAAAAAGGAATGCAGTGCTAACAGCTACTTGCATTATGGTTGCATCTGGAGTAAGAACTGACCACACCACGATTTCATCTCAGTCCATTTCTACCTTCAGGAAGTTGTTTCTAAAGCCAAGACATAAGAATATTTATGAGCTGTCATGTATACAATGAACATGCACAGCTGTGCATCAAGAACTTATGCTTCCTCTGCCCAAGACCAGGCAGGTTCCCAGAACACTTCAGGAGCTTTTAATGAGTCCTCACAATCCCCCTGTGAAGTGGAACATTTTTCATCTGCCTCCAAGCAGGAGGTAAAACATTTATTTGACTGTTTAAGGTCACACACAGCAGATGGAAACAGGAACTGAACTGGTGTGGAACCAACCCCTGATAGCTCAACAAAGAGCCAAGGAGGTGCACACAGATGGACATGGTGGGTGCAGTAGCTGTTTTTCACAGCAATGATATTGTAGTTCAGGGGGCAGGGATGCTAAATGTATGCCTTGTGCCTTTCCTCAGGCGGAGAAGGCATCCAAGAATGGGGTGGGATGACGATAGGGTAGTGTGGGGGGAGATGAAGAAGAAAGCAGGGATCAAGGTCAAGTTTTAAGAAAAGGGGCAAGGAGAGAGGCACTGGGACTGAAATGGACATGATGGGGTTGGGGGAAGTGGATAGGAAAATCAAGAACAGATCTAGGAAGAGTGGTTGGGGGAGGTTTGATTGGCCTAGGGGACAAAGTAGGGAGTTTGGAGTAGGTGGGCATGTAGCTCAAGGTCACCCAAACTATGATGCTTAGTGACTACAATAGAAAGGGTAGAGGAGGGAAATTATCTGCAAAAAACTTGGACCCACATTCTTTCTCTGATATAGGTTTGTTCCAACTACCATGAGGGTTTTACTGTTTTGTCTGTAGAAATGTTTGCTGGCTTTCCCAGGGATATGACCACACTTATAACTACCAGGTTCCCCTTCCCAAAACCTGGTTTAATTTCCTTGAACCAACTGAGTCTTCTCTTTAGTCAGGCCTAGATCTTGCTCTTATAATTCCCCCATCCTGTCTGCCTTCCCCTACTGTTAAGTCAATCTCTTTTGAGATATAAAAGAGGAGGACAGTCAATATGGTGCCTTAGATACATACACTGTAATGACCCCTTGACAACAAAGACTCAAGAAACTAAAGAAAAGAGACACAAAACCTACCTCAGATCCCAGAACATCAAACTGAGAGTTCAAGAAACAGACTGAGCATCTATTGGAAGGAGAGGCAGAACTAGGCCAGTGGGAAAACAGAGATTCGTGGACCGATTGCACCCTGCCTGCCATCGTGGAGCAGTGTGCCCATTTTGGGACAGCATCAAACAACAACCCGAAGTGAGGAACCCAGGAAAGCAATTGCAAAGAGAGCATAGCTGGAGGTAGAGATACTGGCAAACAACCCCAGAAAGAAATGACAAGGTGGGCAGGCCGTGACTAGGGATGCAGCACCCCTAAGAGGGGGAAGCATGGGAGTGGCATAGCTTTGAAACCAGGGAACAATGGGGAAGTGCCTCTAGAGTAAGTGAAACAGACTGAGTCATTGGAGTCTGACAGAAGGAGAAAGTGTAGACAGGGAGTGTACATTGGGGGGCAGTAAAGGGGAGGAACAGAGGGGTGGGTGAGAACGCCAGCCACTCTGGTGAGTGCAAGAAGGGAGGGAGCTAGGAATTAATGTAGGAATTGCTCATCGGTGGAGACACCTGGCCATGTATATGGGAGCCACCCAGTGAAAAATCAACCCATAGAAAAACAATTAGAGCCCCCCGCAAAACCGAGCCAGTGCAAGCAGTCACCCCACCTGCCATCAGCATTAGCATGTGACCTGAGGCACAGGTGGATACAGCCAAGGAGCCCAATCCCCGTCATGTCCACCACCCCCTCCCTGAGACTCTGGAGGCCCTAGCAGATGTGTGGAAACCCAGTCACACCAACCACCCTCTCCTTGAGGTGCAGGCAGCTCATATTTCTGTGCACAAGCCTGACCACACCCACCACCCCTCCCTGAGGTTCACGAGGTCTGAGCAGACACACATAAGCCCACTTATGCCTCCCACTCCTCCCTGAGGCTCAGGGGGCCTGCGCTGACATGCATAAGCCCAGCCATGCCCACTATCCCTCCCTGAGGACCAAGTATGTAAGCCTGGCCATGCTCACCACCCCTCCCTGAGCTGCAGGTGGCCTGAGCTAATTCCGTTGCAAATCTGGCCACACCCCCCACCCCTCCCTGAGGAACAGACCATCTGTGCAAATCAGAGCAGGCTCCGCTTCACCCCTCACCCTATCCCAGATATGCAGGCCTCTGCCCCTCCCACCCACAGATCCCTCCGAGCTGAACAGGACTCTGTACTCTGCCAAGCCAACACCTCCACCTACTGTGAGAAATTCTGTGCCCTGTCCTGCCACCTCCCCCCTTGCTGAGTGGGACTCCATGACCAGATGTGCAGACCTCTCCCCCTGGCTGAGTGAGATGCTGTATCCTTCCCAGTTGCCCCCTGGCTGAGTGAGACTCCCTGCCCTCCTCTGCTGACCCCACCATGGCCATGTGAGCCTCCGCACCCTATCCTGCCTACACCTCTCTGCACCCCATCCTGCGCTTCAGGTGTAGCACTAACTACTCTTGGAAACATGGAATATATTATTCTTCAAGAGCTATGAAAAGATCTTGACCACCCAACACCTGCTACCTCACATTGGGAAAAGGACTTGTTCAAACATCAAAAAGCAATCCTCTAAAAAAATCAAACATGCCTAATGATGTAGGAGCACAGAATGTGTGCAACCCACCGTATGAACCAATGAGAAGAAAGCACACCTTGCCAACCAACACAGAGTCCAGATAACTGTCAGCTATATAGTCACACACAGACCAATACTACAAAACAACATCAATTAAAACAATGCAAAGAAAGATAAACATTATAAAAAGAAAGAAGCTATGCTCCAGATATAGCAAAACAATAAAAAAGGCAAATAAACACAGAATCAATAAAAATGATCAATAAAAAAATATATAAATAAATAAATTAACACCTTAATGCCTTGGAGACAGACGACAATAACAAATTATGTGAAGAAACAGGATAAGGTGGCTCAAAAAAATAAGCAAAATA